TGTAGCCTTTAATCTTCATCAGTAAGTACTTCAAGTCATCCTACTTTCAGCAAGCAAAGGTGTATTGTCAGCATATCACAGATTATGAGTCTTCTTCCAATCCTGATGCCATGCTCTTCTTCATATAATCCAGCTTCTCAGATTATTTGCTCAGTATACAGATTGAATAAGCATGGTGAAAGGAGACAACCCTGATGCACTTCCTTTCTGATTTTAAACCATGCAGTACCCCCTTGTTCTGTTTGAATGACAGTCTCCTGGTCTATGTACAGGTTCCTCATGAGTACAATTAAATGTTCTGGAATTTCCATTCTTGTCAATGTTATCCACAATTTGTTATGATCCACACAATCAAATGCTTTTTGCATAGTCAATAAAACATAAGCAAACATCTTTCTGGTATTCTTTGTTTTCAGCTAAGATCCATCTGACATCAGCAATGACATCCCTTGTTCCACATCCTCTTCTGAATCCAGCTTACATTTCTGGAACTTCTCTGTCAATATACTGCTGCAGCCATTTTTGAATTATTATCTTCAGTAAGATTTTATCGGCAATATATCAGACAGTGTTTCACTGCTATTCATAAGGTTGTCATTGGCCAATCTTTGAGAAGTGTATGGGCTCTTCCTTCTTCCAGGTCTGTCTTAGTCTAGAAGCACCACTGAAACCTGACCATCATGGGTAACCCTGCTGGCATTTGCAACACCAGTGGCATAGCCTCCAGCCTCATAACAAAGCCAAACACTAGACAGGCATATAAGGTGAATATCTACACCAGGTAGGTACACTCCTTAGACCAATCAACCAGAGGAGATCAGAAGGGCAGTATTTGTACAGGGAGATAGCTCAGAGGGCAGGAAGGCATAGGAAAGAAGGACACAGGGAAAAAGTAACTACAGGGAGGAGGTGGGAAGAGGGCTGTTACATTATGGGAATTGCAATCAATGTCATGAAACAAAATGTGTATGAACTTCTGTATGGAAAATGAATTTGCTCTGTAAACTTTCACCCAATCACAATAAAAAATAAATAAATAATAATGTCTGCCTTGAGCATTGTGCTCTTTTAAAGAACTGTCTATATGGGATCAAATTGAAAATAGCAACTCAAAAGTTTAGATAGAAAGCTTAGAGGCAATGAGTTTATGTTAATGGAAAAAGAGCAACTCAGAAAAGGAGAGTGAGAATGGTTGCATAAATAGAAGAATGTATTCAATGCCACTGAATTTTACATGTAGAAATTGTTGAAATGGTTTATGTTCTGCTGTGTATACTTTCAACAATAACAAAAAAAGAAAGAATGGGGAAAAAAAAAAAAAAAGCCTAATATTTGGCACAGACTGGTTAGGCCCTATCCAAGTAGACTTAAGAGAGACTCTGAGGACAAACCAACAAACTAAACCACTGACCACAGAGAGCAAAGTCGTGTGGTATGTGCCCTGAGGCAATTAGGTTTGGGCTGGTTCTGTCTGCTCCTCAGAGGCCAGGGTCTGTATTTGATCCTCGTGACGCCTCCCTGAGGTTGCCACTCTTAATGTCCCTGTTCTAGGATGCTCAGCTGAAATGGAGTCAGGGTCAGCATGGTCCCAGAAAGATGGGACAGGGATCATCATCCCCATTTGGCAGGTAAGGAAACCAAGGCCCAGGAGGAGCCCTGCCTGGCCTGGCCTAGAGCCTCAATCACTCACTTGCCATGGGGCCTGCCCCGGCACCACTCGCCCTCGTAGGTGGCCTGGCAGAGCCGGCCCTCCGTGTGGAAGGTGTATGCTACGCAGCGAGAAGTTGGGGGCTCGGGCGGCTCCGGGCCCACCCCCAGCACTGGGAAGTCCTTCTTCCCGCACAAGGCTTGGCGCACAGCCTGGGTCACCTTCCACTGCCAGACCACCTGGTGGGGATGGGGGAAACACAGGGCAGGTCACTGGTGCTGGACGCGTCCCCTCCAGGAAGGCTTCCCAGGTCAAGCACAGGCTGCTGATGGGTCCATAAGCCCTCCTCCACCCAGCTCTGTCACTAAGAGAAATCTCCAACCTCTCCACGCTGCTGCCTAGGGCCCTCTAGCCAGGCCTCGTGTGCAGTTTCAGGACCTGCCCAGAGGGGCTGGACAAGACCACAGGGCAGGGATCTGCACAGGCCTCAATCCTGGCTCCAGGGAGAAAAAGACTCCATTTTCTGTAACATTCTGATGCCTGACCCCAGGCTGACCACTGACCTCAAGCTGATCTAATCCCTGACCCAAGGGTAACCACTTGCTTCACGATATCCCTTGGCTCATGCTGATCATGACCCCAGAGGCCTGACAGCCTCTCCCCCTGCATTCCCATAGAGTGCTCTAGGGTCCCACACTCCTACCCTTCCCCTACCCTGCCTGCCGTCTTCCCTCACTCGCCTTGACCCACTCCCCCAATCCACAGCTCATGCACACTCACCTGGCCCTGGTGGTCCTTGGCACAAAAGGAGAACTCTTCTTCAGGCGTGAGGACATGAAACGTGTACCTAGATAGAAGGAGGTGATAAGTAGCCCCAGCTCTGTCTGGATTGGGGCGGGGAGGGCCCAAACCTGAGCCCTGCGGTGTGGGCACTGTTCATGGTGGTGGATCAAGAGAAGGCCTGGGGGTAAAAGGAGGGGGTTGCTCACCTGTCCTGCCCAGGATCCACCCACACCAGCTTCAGATCAAAGGTGTGGGCATGGTGGCCCTAGAAGAAGACAGGGTACAGGCATCATCCAGAGGCCAAGCCAAGTTTCAACCCCACCAGCATGCCCTAGGATGCCACCAATCTGCTCCATCCAGCTTCCTAGGTCCAAGTCCCCCACCCTCCTTCCCGCTGGTTCCTCCCTTCTGCAGAAGTTCCTTCATTTCCCCCTTCCACCCAAGGCCAGGAACCGGAATCAATCTCTTCCTCCTTCTGTCCATTATCCCTGCTGGAAACCTCTCCAAGGTTCCTACTGCCTAGAGGATGGAGCCCACACTGCTGAGTCTCACATTCAAGCCTCACACAGGCACTCCAGGCTCATGCACCCATACCCTACGCCCTCTTTACACCTCTAGCACAGCCACTGCACACCTGCATGACCACTGCATACCTGCATGACCATCACACACCTGCATGACCACTGCACCCCTGTACCCTACCCACAACTCCCTTCCCTATGAACTTTGGCTCATGTTGCTCCTTCTACCTGAAGTGCCATCCCCACCCTAAGAGAGACCCACACCTCTTTCTCTAAGAAGATTTTGTATAGTTCTCTCAGCCAGCCCCAGGCAGGCCAATCACTGCTCCATGGGCACAGAAGGCTTTTTGGAGGAGGCAACATCAGGCCCAGGCCTGATGGATGAGGAGGAGTTTGCCAGATGCAGGCCAGGGACAAGAGTGGGTCAGGCAGAGAGAACAGCATGTGCAAAGGCCCAGAGGTAGGAAAGGACTTGGCACATTCGAGGGATGGAATCTCTTCAGCATACCTGGAGCAAAGAGTGTGAAGATGGCAGTGAAGAGGAACTCAAACTAAATCAGAACTACACCCAAACCAGCCGTGAGAAGACACAAGCCTGGGCTGGGCAGTTGCATCTTCCCAGGCTGTCGTGAATTTAATTGTGTCCCCCCAGAATATATGTCAAGTAGCTAGGCCATGACTGTCTTCTATTTTGTGATGTGTCCTAAATCCTAATTTCTATGTTAATGAGGCAAGATCAGGGTGAAGTGTATCTCAGTCACAGCACAGCCTTATAAGAGGGTGTCTCTTATTCAAGTCACCTTACTAAAGATACATCCTTATGCAAGTCACACCGTTTATCTCATAACAGATAAAAGGAAAGATAAGTAAGCACAGAGGGGAGGAACCCACTACCACCAAGAAAGAAAATCAGAGTGTGCTCTTTGCACTCAGGGTCCCTGTACTAAGAAACTTATGGACCCAGGGAAAGATTGATGATGCCAAGACACAAAGAACACTGAGCCCACAGATGTTGAAAGGAGACAAGGACCTTCCCCCAGAGCCAAAAGAGAGAGAAAACCTTCCCTAGAGCCAGTGCTCTGAATTTGGACTTCTAGTTCTAAACATAAGAGCTCTGGTAGCATAGTGCCTAAGGCACTTGACTGCTAACCAGAAGCCTGGCGGTTCAAACCCACCAGCCACTCCTCAGAAGGAAGGTTGGGCAATCTACTTCTGTAGTGATACTGCCTCAGAAACCCAAGGAAGGGTCGCTATGAGTCAGGTCCGGCTTGATGGCACATAACAACAACAACAGGTTCTAAACATGAGAGAATAAATTTCTATTTGCTAAAGTCATCCACATCAGGATGACTTTATCTCTGTGGTATCTCTGGTATAGCAGGACTAGATAACTAAGACAGAATTAGGCAGTAGCATCCCTTCCTGGCCTCAGTCTCCTTTTTTTCCCCCCCTAGGCTCAGTCTCCTTGTCTTCAACATAAAGGATATTCAGGCTGGCATTCTAACAGGACACAGAAGAGGTGTGTGGATACCATAAGGGCAATGAGTTCAGCAGGGGCTAAGTACAGTAAAGGTTACTGGCTAAGTAACAATTAGATAACTGGCTCCCTCCTGACTTGTAATGCTGATAGCCAGTCACTACTTCTACGTGGTGCTTTTCTCTAGAAGCTTTGCAGGTGCCCTGAATGGTTCACCCACCCCTGCTCTTCTACCTGGCTACCTGTCTGATGAAGATGGGAACTGAATGCTGTCTGGCCCCTGCTGTAGGATAAACTCAGTAACAATTATCTCCATTCTACAGAGGAAGAAATGTGGTGAAGACAGGTATGTAACCAAAGACACCAGCTGAGAAGGACTGAAGCCAGGATACACCTTGAAATCCCTTTCATCCCATCATCCCAGCCCACGCTCCCTCAGGAAGGGCACATGGGTGATGATATCACATTGATCAGGGCTCCCAGCTGACCCCATCTGAGCATTTGGCCTTTCTGTCCCCCACTTAAGCCCAAGTTCTCACTCCCAGTGGCATGTCCCTTTCTGATTCTTTCTTCAGCCAGATCCTAGGAGCCTACTGTGGCCTCAAGGCCTCGAGTCAGCCCCATCCTACCTGCAGCAGGACAAGGGTGTCATCAAACAGCAACACGCGTTCTGCCCGCAGTGGGGAGACCGTCACTGGAATGTCATGGCTGTCTTGCAGGAGCCGGTGAGCAGGGGTGCAGAGTACATCCTGGTGGGCAAGGAGGAGGGGCAAGGCTCAGGCCTTCCTCTCCTGGAAGCTGCCAGCTGCTATGCCACCTGCCCCACCCTGGGCATTGGAGGCTGGGGGACATGGCCCAGGGCAGCAGGGCCCTGCCTGCCTCTCTGCACTCTGGACACTTCCTGGAGGCCTCCTCCAGTGGACCTGAGCTTCCCCACAGCACCTCCCAGTCAACGGTAAGCACAGGTCTCAAGTCATTGGGCTGAGGTATGGGGAATCATTCCTGGTCACTCCCAGAAGCACAGCACAAATTCTCTCTCTTGCAGCTTTACTCTCTCCCCCTTCATCCTACCCCCACCTCCATGTCATGGCCCCAGCCAAGCCTCCATTGAGTCTCACCAGGATTCTAGCAATTCTTGCCCCTCTACCTGTCTTCCTAATTCTCTACACTGAGCTTGTTATACTCTCTTGGGACACAGGAGACTTTTGTTCCTGCAGGGAGAACATAGGCCATGGTTGGCATTGACACGGGGGTGATTGTTTGGTAACATCCCACTACCTCCCCTTGGACACAGCTTCAGGATAGATTGTCAGTCTGGCCGATCAGATTCCCCAGAGCCAGAACAGGGCCTGACCCAGGAGGTGGTCTGGAAAAGGACAAGGAAGGCTGGACAGAGGGACCTTATAAGCCACCCCGCTCCTCTTCCAGATGGGTAAGCTGAAGCACAGAGAGTAAAGCAAGAAGCTTGAGCCAGCCAGCAGGTCCACGTGCCATGTGCAACCCCTTCCCTGACCACTCTCAGGCCCCATACTCACCCTCAGCCGACTGCTCAGGGTGGGCCAGAGGGCTTGCGTGACCACTGCCTGGTCCAGTGCCTGCCTCATGAAGGACTGTAGGTTCCCAAAGAGGGTGGCTGCATGTACCACTAGCTCCCGGGCAGGGTGGTGCTGCATGGGGACAGGCAGTCAGTGAGAACAGAGGTGGGGGAGAACTTGTTGGCACTTTCCCCACCCTGTGATGGCTACTCTGGCCCTGTCCTAGTCAGGGGGCCTGAGACTAGTCTAAAGTTCACACCTCTCTCCCTAACAACTCCTGCTCCTCCTGAGGGGTGCGGAGTTGCTTCTAGAGGAGTCAGAACCATTAGATGGCTCCCCAGGCTTGGCCCTGGGCGACTAGTCCTCATACCCAGTCCAGGATTCTACACCTGTTCTCGGGACTTCTGCTGGCTCCAATCAGGGTAGGGCTATGGCTCCTCAGATAACCCAGGGTAAACCTGTAACCCACTAAGATGACCAGAACAGACTGTGACCCTCAGACCCTGCAAGGCAGAGCCACGTCCCCTCAGGTAATCCAGGGCAGAGATGTGACCCACTAAGATGACCTTAGCACACTGTTATCCTCTCAGACCCTCCAGGGCCGGGTCATGCTCCCTCAGGCAGCCCAGGGTAGGATTGTATTCTTACACTGCTCAGAGTGAGACTGTGCCACTCCCACCAAGATCCTCCAGGGCAGGGATGTGTCCCTTCACACCTCCCAGAACCAGGCCATATCCCCTTCACCCAGAGTACAGCTGGGGTCCCCTGAGCCTGAGCCCCATTTCTCCTTCTTTAGTCTCCCCATAGGCTATAAGGGGTGCCTTGCTCCTGTGGCCCCTGGTACCCACCTCCCTGAGAGTGTCTCCGAGGCTCAGCAGGAGAAACACGTACTGCTGCACATGGTGGGCGAGTGGCTGGCGGAGGGCCTGGACCAGCACTGGACCCACCGCACCCTCTGAGCTCACGTCTGACAGGAGCTGCCGCAGCACTTTCCGCTGGCCTTGCCAGTACTCACTGAGGGAGAGTCACACATCACCCTCACTCTGCCCCACCAACCCCCGCCCCCTACTCCATTCCTGCACCCACCACCATCGCCTCCCTGTCTTGTCTAAACCCCAGGACCCAACGCCAGCCTAGACTTCCAAACCTCTCTCCTATCAGACAAGCACAGTGCTTGAATTGCCTCTATTGGAGATTTAGCAGTAACATCGGAGAGTCTGGGGTAATCACTGATTACAACCATCACCCTGAGAACTAACTACCCCTCCTTCCCTGTCCCAGAGTCATCAGAGATGTCTGAATTCTGCTCACAGCCTCACAAAGCCTTCCCTCCTCCTCTCCCAGCATGCATCAGTGTAGAACTGTTAAAGCCAAGACTCGAGGATAAGTCCAGGGCTTCCCCAGCCCAGATACCCCCACTCGTTCAGGGGCCCATGGCAGCACCCCCATACTCACCGCCTCCTCTTTGCTGTTTTCTGAAAGGCCTGCACTACCATGCAGCTCGTGTAGGACTCGATGTACCTGCAGGCAGCATGGAGGACCCCCTGCAAGCCCCACCTCAGCTCCAAGCCCAAGCCCCTACCCTTCTTCCCACCCAGCTACTGAGCTACTGAGACCCTGAGGGACAAGACACTGGCCTGGCCTTGGGCACTGGTGACCTTGAGTCTTGACCCAACTAGACAGTTCTCTAACTATAAAGTCTCCCTTTTCTGAGGGATCCCAGGGTTCATGAGGGTCTGTAGTGTCTGAGCCCACCACTAGGCTTGCCCTAACCCGGGGTGAGGAAAATCTCAGATAAGCCGTGACCCCAAGATGAGTCCCCCAACTGAGCATCAACCCCAGGCTAACCCCTGATCTTGGCCTAAGCCCTGACCCAATTGAGTGCCAATCCCAGGTAAGCCCTAAAGCCAGGTGGCTTTGATGCCAAGGCTGAGCACGAGGCCCACCTTGTCTGCCTTACTGTATGTGGACCTGCAGGACACGGTCAGCATCACGCAGCAGCAGCAGGGATTCCAGGCCGACAGAGTCCGGGTGGCGCAGCCTCTCCCGCAGTGAATGCAGGCTCTCCTCTGTCACCTCCCAGAGCTGCTGAGAGCTCTTGTGCAGTTGCTGCAAGAGCTGCAGGCACTCTCTGCCCCGGGGGTCTGAGGGCTCTGGGGTTGAGGCAGGAGCACAGTAACAACATCAGGAGGAAACATGGTCTCTCCATCCACCAGGGAGCACACAGAAGTCCAGGGTGGTCACACAAGGGCCAGCAGCTTCCCACAACCCTGTTGCTGCAGCCAAGGTCCTGCTTCTTTGGGGTCCTTGGGGCAAGGTTGGAAGCAGGTTTCTCCTTGAACTTAGCAGGGGATGGGCAGGCTGGGGCAATGTGTAGCACCCTTAGTGATAAAAAGGGGCAAGTATGCACTTTCTCACTAAACAGGAATGACACTGATGCTCTAGAAAAACTCATCATATTAAACCCCACTGTGTCTCTGGGTTTCTTTGCCCTTGGACCCCCAGGATCCGGAATGTGGAGTCCATAAGGGCATTCAATTCTCTGCCACTTCACAGGTGTATAAATAGAGGGCCTGAGAGGAAGGAGCCTGTCTCTTCCAGCTTTACTTCCAAGCTAGAAGTAAAACTTAGGCATGCTGCCTTCCAGTCAGGCTTTTCTGGACATCACCAGATGTCCTGGGTGGGAACAAGATGCAAACTCAGGCAGAGGGTCTTCTCCAGGCCTGTGACCCAGGAGAAGTGGAATTTGGTCTCCATGCACAGTCAGGTCTAGATGTGGTTTCATGGCCTGGTCCTCAGGGTCCCTTTGAGAAGAGAGCAGCCAACAAGGGAAGCTGGGGCCCCAGTTCTATCAGAAGATGCCAACGCCAAGAGTCACCACCTCCACTGGAAGGTGAGAAAGCTGTGGCTTTCCAGGAAACTAGCCAACCTGTCCAAGGGACCCAGCAGGGTAGGATCATTTCTGCATCACCCACCCTCTCCACTGGAGAGCCTGGACTTACCATCCAAGAGCAGGGGCTGGAGGACAAGGCAGTTGATGCGGGCAAGGGCAGCTGAGAAGACCTCTTCTAGCCGCAGCAGGGCTGCCTCCTCAGGGTTGCACATGGCCAGGGTGCTAGACACAGGACCTTATGGATGGGACACAGGTTAGAGAAAGAGAACACTGGCTCTTAAGAGGGCAGGGTTACTGTCATCCTTTCCAGGGCAGATGCCCAGAAGCAAGGTCCATGACTGTCCCACATCAAAACTGAGCAATGAGCTTAGGACATCTCAAAGGGGAGCTCCTGAACTAGCCACTGATGACCTGTCCTGCTCTCCATCTGGGCCCAGCTGCGGAGAACCTAAAGGAGTGGGAGAGAGGGCTCAGAATCACCAAGGGAAGCAGACACTCATCAAAACCAATTCTGGCCTGCTCACTGCTCTACTCAAACACCTCCCATGGCTCCCTAGTACCCATGGTAATATCTAGTGATGCTCTGACTTCACTCCTTCCCTATCAAGTGTCAACACAGAAAGACACAGTCTCTAGAGACAGGGATATGTTGGCAGAGGGGCCCAGCCTTGTCCTCAAGATTGTGGCTCAGGGCTCCGTGTGACACAACAGATTATATGAGCAAGGAGAGGCCTGGAGGTTTCCTGCTGAGCATGAAGGACATGCAAGAAATAAAGAGGCAGAGAGGAGGGCCTAGCATAAAGGGGCAGAACTGTGACAGCAAAGGCCTAGGCTTTGTGCTAAGCCTACCAGGCAGCACCCTAATTAGCTGGCCCAGAAGCTTGGCCATAGGGAGCCATGGAGGACTTCAGAGCAAAGGAGTGGTTGGATCCAAAGCTGGGCTTTAGGAGATGGATTTGTTGACAAATGCAGAGGAGATGGAGAGGTAGAAGTCAGCGTAGGGGGAGCCTAGACCCTCCATGCCCCCTACTAACCTGGCTGAGCCTACTGACAGTCCTACTCAAGAGGTAGGGCCCACTGGGTCTGGGCAGTGGGTTTGAGCCTTTGGATTTCCTGCCCTGGAGTGAGGGAACCTGTGAAAAGGCAGGGATCATCTGGGAATGCAGACTCCTAAGTGGAGGGGGGGGCTGCCAGGAGCCTGGGCTCAAATCCACCACCACAGCTAGGTTGTGGCCCCTATGCTTGAGTTTGGGAGCTCTGGTAGCGTAGTGCCTAATGCACTTGACTGCTAACCAGAAGGCTGGCGGTTCAAACCCACCAGCCACTCCTCAGAAGGAAGATGGGGCAATCTACTTCTGTAGTGATACTGCCTCGGAAACCCAAGGAGGGGTCGCTATGAGTCAGGTCCAACTCGATGGCACATAACAACAACAACACCACACTTGAGTTTGGTGCCCTCATCTGGCAAGATCATCTGCCCAAATGGTCTGACCAGACCTCTCTGAATTGAGAGTCAGAGGGTCTTTTAGCCCAAGAGCCTCAGACTGCCTCTCCCTGGCTCTGGCACTCAAGCTCTGGGACTAGTGTGGGGTAGGGGACATCACTGGGGCAACCTATGACTGGTAACTAATGGTGAGCAGGCAACCCGAAATCCAAACCAAACCCACTGTCATCAAGTCAATTCCAACCCATAGCAACCCCCACTGGGTTTCCAAGGCTGTAAATCTTTATAGAAGTAGATTGTCTCACCTTCCCATGGAGCAGCTGGTGGATCTGAATCACTGACCTTCTGGAGAGCAGCCAAATGCCTTGACCACTACACCACCAGACCCAAAAAGGCAAAGAGAAAGGGTCTTACTTCACCTTCCCCTCTAAGGTCGCTTGACACCATAAGGCATCCTAGGCCCCTAGCAGAACCTATGACATCCCAGGAATTGTCTCTGGGGCAGGGCAGGGTGGGGTAGGTGTCTCAGAACTCTGGCCAAGGGTCTGGGCCAGGCATTCCTGCCCCACCTTTCCTGCTACTGCCTCAGAGAAGGGCGAGGCCCAGGGAGGGAGAGACAGGAAGGGGAAGCGGCTGGAAGCCCAGCTGCACCTTCTCTCTCTGTAGGCCCCTGAAACAGCCCCATCCCCCAGGGAGTCAGGGAGCTGTAGGTGAGCCCAGACAGACCAGGAGAGTCAGGGAGATCAGGGGAGGCAGGGGTAAGGCAAGTATGGCCCAGCTGACTAGGTGCCGTACAGTTGGTTCTGACTCATAGCAACCCTACATACAATAATGCCTGCTTCTGTGCCATCCTCACACTTTCACCTATATATAGGTGACTTTCACCTATATCTTCAAAAACTGATGGAATGGAAAGGTGCCTTGGTCGAGGCTGACTGGCAAGGACACCCAGGACTGGCAGAGGTGGAGGGAGCCGGGACAGCCAGGATGGGAGGAGCTAAGATCCAGATCAGGGTAAGGAAAAAAGAAACTGCAGTAAATAACTAGCAAGGTGGGAGGTCTTGAACATCAACACCCCATACACTCCCACCCGGGAGCAGGTACCCCCACCCTGGCCAACACGACACCCCAGGTAGGGAGCTCTCTGCCCCTGGAGAGTCTGTCCGCCTCAGGCTTCTCCTGCTTTGCCTCCATAGGGCTGGCCCCTGCCCAGTACTGACTCCAGAGCCATGAACAGCAGCTGTCTTGGACCCATGGCCATACCTCAGCTCCTGCCCCAGGAGAGGCTTCTGACCTCTACCGGCCATTCAGCCCTGGCCATGCTCCGACTTAGCCAGTTTGTTCCTTCTGGGCCATAGCCACCTCCTCTATGAAAGGCGGGATCCAGCTAGTGCAGAGCTTTTCTGATTATTTTAGCCCCCCCTCAAAAGGACCAACTGGTCAGGGGGAAACCTCCCCTACCCTAAAAGCAGCCCAGGGTTAGCAGCCACTACTCCAGGGCTCTTCCAGCTCTGTGGCCCAAAGGGATCTCTAACCCTGAGAAACCGAGTCACACTACCCTGAGAAAAGGCCAAAAGATAAGCATGGCTGATGGAGTGGAGGGGAAGAGGCAGCAGAGGGAAGAGGCTGCAACTGAGGCTGGGCAGACTGATCTAGTGATCCCAGGGGGCAGAGCGCTCCTAGGTGATGGAGTTTCAGGTTTCAACCTAGAAGGTACTGAGGAGATTGTGAGGGCAGGGACATGGCCAGGCAAGAGTTCATGTGAGTGTAATGAGGGGGAGAAAGGGGTGGCACCAGGTGCTGAATCTTAACATGAAAGGGACCCAGCAAGAGGGTATCCTTCCTAAACTCACAGTTCTACCTCCCAAACCAGCCCACTCTGGTTCAAGAGAATGGCCTCTCATTCTCTCCCTCCCTCCCTTCAGTCCTCAAAGATTCCTTAATGTGAAACTGCACATGATGTACAAATGGGGAAACCAAGGCTCAGGAAGGACAGGAGAGCCCAGAGCCACTATCTGTAGAGCATGTGTGGGGCTCAGACCCAGGCTTCTGGCTCCCAGTCTCACCAGGCTTAAGTCAGCCGGATGGCCCAGAGAGGCTAAGCATCTCACCTGAGGGCACACAGCAGTTCCTGGCAGGGCCTAGACTCCTACCTCATTACCAGGGGGCCTCACCATGGGGTGGGGGTGAGGACAGAACTGGCTGGTCTTGGCGTGCCCAGGTGAGTCAGTTGCCTGTCACTGAGGCAGTCTAACCAGCAGTCAGACCTGCTCTCGCCCCAGCATTCCTGGCCTCTTTGCATACCTGGGTCCCTTCTGGGAAGGTCACTGAGGCCTTCCCCTGTCTTCTCCCAGGCTTGGCATCTCATGCACCTTAGCTCTCAGCCGCACCCTGTCATGGCACCTACTCTGGTATTTCCTGGTCTGGACAGGCAAGAAAGCTCTGTTTGCTGTGGAGGCTTTTTTCCTAGGCTGCCCTGTAGTCTCTTTGATCAACCAGCACACCCAAAGATGGACAGTGTAGAGAGGAGACTGAGCTGCGACAGCTACCCCCTGACAGTCTCCACCTCTGGCCCTTCCTCCCCTCCGCACCTCCGTGGCTCCCAGCGTCTTGCCCTACACACACGCACTCCACCTCCAACTTTCTCCAGTAGCATATATCACAGTTTTCCTTTTCCCCACCCAAGCATACGCAGGAGTTCCCAAACCTGCGATCCAGTTCCAGCTGCCAAGCTTTTGCCCATGCTGCTCTCACTTGAGCAACACCACCTACTGGCTTTCTCAGTTGTAGCCCTTCCGCCCTCCCAGGCCGGCGTCACCTCCTCCTGGCAGTCTGTCAGGCTGGGTGAGGCCCCGCAGACCCTGCAGCCTCGGGCACTGCTCTCGTGCCGTACACGACCCCGGGGTGCCGGCACCGCCCCTAAGCCTGAGCCGGTGACCATGGGGCAGGGAGTACGAAGCTGTGAACTCCTCTGGGGCCGAAAGGGGTCGTCTGACGAACTGGGACTGCCCTGCGTGAGTCTAGCAGGGCACCGAGAAGTCGGGGAGAGACGACGAGGGCGTGAATGTCCCGAACCCGAGTGGGGAAAGCATGGAGAGGAGGAGCCCGCCCCTAGAAGCGCTCCCTCCGTCCCGCCCTTACCTGCGCTGGGCCGGCGCCCCGCGGGGCGTCCCGGTGCTACTCCAGGCTCACCGCCGCCCCCCCCAACTCCCCCAGAGCCTCGGCGCTGGCCCCGCCTCCACGCGGGCGCCCCGCCTCCGGTGTTGCTTGGGGCGGGGGGAGGGGGAGGCGAAGGGGCCCCGCCTCCGAGGGGGCGGGACGCGGCGCTAGTGCGCCCCGGCCCGCGAGGTCTCTCCTGAGGTGTCAGTCCCAGAGTCTCAAGATTTTTGGGACCCAGCGGGTGGAACGGGAAGGCGGGGAAGTGTTGGGAGCTTGACTTCTATGCTCCTCCACACAACACACGCACCCAGGCTCGCCTCTCCCACCTCGCATCCTCTCAACGAATGTTGTGAGGACAGAGGGAGTGTCTGCAAGGCGGCCTCGTTTCCTCGTCTCAGCAGCCTCCTTCTCCTTGCTTCCCCTTGCGCTCGTCGACTCTGGCTATCTGCGGGCCTGGGGTGCAACCCCATGACCTCTTCGACCTGCACTGAGCCACAGAGGCCGGCTCAAGCGAAGTGCTGGGTGGATTAGTGAAGTTTGTGGCCGGCTTGTAGATCAGCCGCCACCCTGGTCTGTGTGACCTTGGCGAGACTCCCCCTACCCCCACTT